CATCAGCCGTAAGGTTTCTAACTCAAATGATTAAGAGTTTCATCCGACGTTTTATGATCAAATTCCATATCGTGCAATATTGTTTGTATATATTATAAAATAAAATAAAACCTCCACTAACCAATTTTGTATTCATAATGAGGGACAATATGATCAAAATCCTTTTTTTACAGTTATTATTAAGGTTCGTCTTTCATTTTAAATGAGAAGGGGAATTTGAACTCGTATGCGAACTAACCATAACACTATTCTGGCCAATTGGTCTAACTCAAATCTGCGTTATAGGTTGGTTGATGACATTGCCAGTTACCCCAACCCAAATACCAATTTGAGTGGTGTATGTTGGATAGAGCACCTCCTATTGGGTAGCCACTTATTTGTTTATTTTAAAAACAGATAAGAAAAGGCTGCGTTGAATTATCATCGCTCAATTTTGTCAAGGCATGGACTTGCCCGTGATGCGCAGGTCTCAGCGTCCTCACGTTTTTTCTTATCTTTACTATATATTCCTATTATTGAATTAGCTTCAAAATATTTTATGACGAATGTAATGTGATCTGGGGGAAGGCTCACACACGCATACTATTTTCACAGTTGAAAGTTTAGGCAGATTTGACAACTCAATGGCCATTAGAATTCCATTTGAGTGGGGACCTTTAACTGTATAGCTCTTCAATCTCATCACCTCTCTAACCAATAAAATATAAACTAGGGTTGAAACTAATCTTTTTCAGCATCATATGCAATTATGCATGTATTGACCAAACCCTAATCGGTCGATTGATGATCCAATTGCGTATTAGGGTCGCATTTTGTTTCGGCTGCAACATCAACATCAACATCAAAACGGCAATGCCCCCAATTATGTATATGGGTTTCTAAGAGCTAACCGAAACCCCACAAAAACAATACCCTTAAAAAGAATAGTGACAAATTGGCAAAGAGAGAGATGTGTTTGACTCTGTGTGGATGCCAACAAAGTTAGCTCAGCAATGATGTAACAAATCATAGGCTTCAAATTCCTAACATCCAAGAAGGTAAAAAAAAATCTTCAAATATCTTGGGGACATTTTGGAATGGAAACTTGATGAGGAAGGTTAGGCATTGTGAGTTGGGGAGATGTCGAAAGCAATGATGTTACAAATTTATGTGCTTCAAATGCAAAATATCCAAAAAGTTCATTCAAATTGTTCAAATATATCTGATGGGGAAGGCGAAGGCAGGTTAGGCATTGTGAGTTGGGGAGATGTTAAAAGCTTTGGCTCTTGTGCGTGTGTCTGCCGTGTAGGGGTTTAAAGACGATGGGAAATATGTTGGCATCTTCTGCTAGCTGTGAAGAAAAGCAATGGGAACACCACACGTGCGCCGATACCAAAGAAAGAGATGCCTCTTTGGGACATCAGACCTAATTGGAAATTTGGAATGATATAGAGAGAGAGACATCACGACACAAGAGCGTGAATAAAATAAACATGCATATAACGATAAAAATAGTGTGTTGTATGCGGCAAGTAGTAGTCATCTTGTTTTAGACTTTCAGGATACAATTATAAATTTTCCACATGAAATAAGTACCTCAATTTTTTGCTAGTGAACGTGAGTTTAGTGCTACTAGGTTTAAATTCACAAGGTTTAATTTGAGTCAACCACACATGAAATAACACAACAATGTAAAATAGGATTTGTTCCTCTAGTTGGGTCAAGCTAATTTCATTTTGCAAAGAATTGAAGAAATGGTATTTTATTTGTAAGCATGGCGGCAGGACTCAGGAGGCCATTATTCATGAGGAAACGTTAAAAAATAATTAAAATATTATCAACAAATGGGTCAGTGCATATGTATGCAGGTGGATAAATTTGGATGCACATGTGTGTTCCAGAAAACGAAAGCAAAAAAACACATAAAAAAACAGATGCGTGATAAACATGAACTTTGATATATTTCGAATTTTATATACATCTGGGTAGGCTCAAAATAATAAGTAGAGATAAGTATAAATATAGTTCATGTTCATTAACTCTAAAAATATCCATGGATTTTAAAACAATTCGAAACCAGCAAAAGGAAACTTTAATAGATGTGTTTCTGTGGAAGATAAAGAATCAGACGGAATATATATACTTCTTGTGGGCACTACTAGTCTCATCAGCCATGAAATATATTTGGTTAGAAATGGATGGGGTGTTGGTTCTTTTGAGTAAACTTGTATTGGTGATCACTTTCGCATCATACAGGATGAACGGATAACCCACCATTTTGTCGGACAATCATGAAGGTTTTGACATGACTAATCAAGAAAAAGACACTGATTCAATTTTATAAGCAAGCCACCTTTTAAACTTTTCAAGGCGTCTATGATTTTCTAACAGCAATTCTGCGAAACTTATGTTATGAGCATTATATAATGTTATTAGACGGTGAATTTGAAATATACATTATATATACGTTTGATTTAGAGCGAAATGTAAATTAAAGAGCACTACCCTTACAAACATTACATAATATTTTTCTTTTCATGTATTACATGAAAAAATTTGCGAAGCCACCTTCAGTCAGAGAAGGCTCTACATGACCATGACGGAACATAACTTGTTTGTCACCTCTGGCTTGAAGTATCAAGAAATTTTCATATTTGGTAAGCGGAGTGATTACGGCCGGGTTTTCCGATTGGGCCAAAACACGGCCCGTGGGTTCACAACAAGAGCCCAACAAATAGTCTCAACCTTTCAAACTGTTTGGGCCTTGGGCCCCCGCCAAATCGGTACTCCAACGTCTAGCCCGTCGCGTTTCGCCTTTCAACTTCAACATCTTCCTCTGCGTTCAGCAAAACCAAACAAAAACCCCACTGTAACCAAAAAGACCGTCGAGCCCTCATCAGCATCACCATGCTTTCCTCCGCAGTCTCTTCATCCCTCCTTATCTTACACAAGCCCTTAGCTCGCGTTATCAGATTCCCCATCCCCAAGCTCCCTCTCTCTCCAAACCCTAGACCCCTCTCTTCTCTCTCACCCGCCGCTTCTGCTCTCACCCCCAATGCCGTCGGCTCCGGCGGTCGCTCCGGAGCTCTATCTCCGGCGCCGATCACCGAAGACCTCCAGAAGATCGACGTCAACCCTCCCAAGGGCACCAGGGACTTCCCGCCCGAAGATATGCGGCTCCGCAACTGGCTCTTCTACCATTTCAGAGAGGTCTCGCGGTTGTTTGGCTTCGAAGAGGTCGACTTTCCAGTTCTCGAGTCCGAGGCTCTGTATATTAGAAAAGCAGGAGAGGAAATTCGAGACCAGGTTTTTATAGCTCTTCTTTTACTCGCATTGCGTCAATTGTAAATACGTACATGTACTTACATTGCAATGTATTGTATTGTGCAGCTATATTGCTTCGAAGACCGAGGTAATCGTCGAGTTGCATTGAGGCCTGAGCTCACTCCTTCTTTGGCAAGACTGGTGATACAGAAAGGGTACTGAAATTCTGATTCTGCTGAGCATTTTCATGTTCTTGTTGCTAATTAAAGACTTGGCTATATAATG